TTTTTTCTTATAGAGAAATGATAGAGTAAATCAGCACCGAAAATCGAATATCGATTAATACTATAAATCAGTGTCAAAAAATTGTCCAAGTGCAATGACAATTTGTTCTCATTTTTCAGGTACTTACCCCTCTAATCTTATTCAACAAATTAACTCGGATAAACGAACGACTCGTATCAATTTTTTTGTCTTATAAAAAAATGAGAAAATAAATCAGTACCGAAAACCGAAGACTGGTCAACGCCATAAATCAATGTCAAGAAAATTGTCCAAGTGCAATGACAAGTTGTTTTCATCTTGCAGGTACTTACCCTACTAATTTATTCAATAAATTAAGTCAGATAAAAGAACAGTTCGTATCAATTTTTATTCTCTTATAAAGAAATTAGAGAATCAGTCAGTACCGAAAACTGAAGACCGATCAATATTTAATTTATTCATCAAATTGACGCGGATAAATGAACGATTCGTATGAATTTTTTTTTTCTTATAGAGAAATGGAAGAGCAAATCAGTACCAAAAATAGAATATCGATCAATACCGTAAATCAGTATCAGAAAATTGTCCAATTACAATGACAATTCATTCTCATTTTTCAGGTATTTATCCCTCTAATTTACTCAACAAATTAACTCGAATAAACGAATGATTCGTATCAATTTTTCTTGTCTTATAAAGAAATGAGAATAAATCAGTACCGAAAATCGAATATCGATTAATACCAGAAATCAGTGTCAGAAGATTGTCCAAGTGCAATGACAATTCGTTCTCATTCCCGAGTCTTTCCCGAGTCGAAATATTAATTCTACATTGATCCTGCAAATTGCATCCGATTTGAAAAATCAATGCAGAATATCTAGATGCGCAATAGTGAACAAGCTTTGTCCTACCTGAACGTTACATCTGGCTACTCTCGCAGTCTCGCCCATGATGAGTCTTCAACAGCGATGTATTCCGCAGTTATTTAATACTCGTTTACTTCGATAATGTATATGTATTTAATCCTTATATTCTTAATTTAAATGAGCAATTTTTGTTGATGTTCACTATATATTCGCTTAACAGCGCAAGAAAGAGAACAAAGATAAAAACGTAAATAGAATTGCCTTTGTTAGAACTGCATGTGAGATAAATATATAAGGATTAAATAATCATATAAGAATTAGAGGAAATGGGGAGATGAAAAACACTTTTAATTCTCATCATTCTTAAAGTTTTTTTTCCTTTTTTCTTCTCTTTTTTTTCTTTTCTTTTTTCTAATGAGAATGATGAGAATTGTAGCTCTTAAAAGAGCTGAAGCTGCAAAAAGACAACGGTTATGTCTAATAATGCTGTTTCACTAATAGAGATTTTAATTCTGATTCGATACAATAAGAAAGATAAACAGAATGAGAAACGGACATTCTAGCAGATTCTAAACGAAAACAGCAATCTGAGCATTATTAGACGAATAAAAATCAACACTTGTAAAATTTATATCAGATTTTAAGATCATTATTCATAGTTTTCTAAATTATCTGCAACTTTTTATTGAGAACATAATTAAGAATTTGTATTCATAAACCTTAGCTTGCCTCAGCAACCTTGCTTGAATAGACATTCATATTTTATGAGAAAAGACAAGTAGAACTCATGTTACGTGAAATTAGGTTAACGAATAATCAAATCTCAAGCTATTTTTCATCATTTTTCAGATAACCTATGAATACTGATCTAATTTCGACTCGGGTATGTCCTTACTTCGAGTAAGGTCCGTTAAAATCAGAAAAATTCTGCGTAATAATAATGACTCAAGGTACCTCGAATACCATACATGATGTATCGCTGTCCACGTCTCTCGGCGCTCTCCAAGTCCTCTCTCCATCCTGACTTCTCGATCCGATGTCCTCCTTCTGGTTACTCCGTCGCAGCACCCCCGGATACTCCATCGTAGCACTGGCGACGACACTGACTCTAGCTCTAACACTCGCGCAAGTAAGATTCGGGGACAAAGAAACGCGTATTAACCGACTCTCGTACTACTCTGCGACATGCGCGTCGTTCGTCGGCCCGAGGCGCAATGTCCTTTCCGCAATCACGGAGTCATGTATAAGCGTACGAAAGCAAACAATCGGGAAGGCACGGTTACCCCCCACCTTGCCAATCAGTGTTGATGCCTGCGTCGTCCGTTAGCTGAAAATGAAAACAACTCGTGTTTTCAAAGCATGCCTATGAGAGACTCGCTTCAAACTTCACAATACTTATTTACGTCTGTTCCAAGAATCATATTACGCCGAATTCAAACTGTTTCTATTTTGACATGACATACACGAGATCTGCGATCGCATCATTGATCTTTCTTTGGACAAGGAAATCCTGAGAGGAACGCTGTTCGAGAATATCGCATTTTATATTTCAGGTGCCTTGCAAATTACCGAATCCGATGTAACAGATCAGGGAAAGTATGAATGCGTCGCTATGAATAACATCGTAGGCACGGAGTACTCCAAGTCAATCACGTTATACGTGAAACGTACGTATATTTAATTATTATTATTAACATCCACAAGCGCGAGTCGAGACATGCGAGTGTACATTTATTTTCTAGCTTAATTAACGAGTACACAGTCTCAGTGTTTTCGCGCGAAGAGAGAAAATGTAATTTACGTTGTATCTTATTAGACGCACCGTTGGAAAAACAAAAGAATATGGACGGGGAGGGAACTCCCAGTAGAAGCGGAGATGTCAACGGAGAAGGGTTAGAAAACTTTAATCTTCGATATCTCCTAAACGGTTAGAGATACAGGCCTGGCTCTGGTACCAAAATAAAGTTCTCTCAAAACCCTACATTTTCGACTACAATGACGACTCTCTACTCTCAGTAGAAACGGAGATATCAACGGAGAAAGGTTGGAAAACTTTAATCTTCGATATCTCTTAAACGGTTAGAGATACAGGCCTGGCTCTGGTACCAAAATAAAGTCCTCTCAAAACCCTACATTTTCGACTACAATGACGACTCTCTACTCCCAGTAGAAGCGGAGATATCAACGGAGAAAGGTTGGAAAACTTTAATCTTCGATATCTCCTAAACGGTTAGAGATACAGGCCTGGCTCTGGTACCAAAATAAAGTCCTCTCAAAACCCTACATTTTCGACTACAATGACGACTCTCTACTCCCAGTAGAAGCGGAGATATCAACGGAGAAAGGTTGGAAAACTTTAATCTTCGATATCTCCTAAACGTTTAGAGATACAGGCCTGGCTCTGATACCAAAATAAAGTCCTCTCAAAACCCTACATTTTCGACTACATGGACGACTCTCTACTCCCAGTAGAAGCGGAGATATCGACGGAGGAAGGCTGGATATCGACGGAGAAAGGCTGGAAAACTTTAACCTTCGATATCTCCTAAACGGTTAGAGATACAGGCCTGGTTCTGGCACCAAATTAAAGTCCTCTCAAAACCCTACATTTTGCCGTAAATGACGACTCTCTACTCCCAGTAGAAGCGGAGATATCAACGGAAAAAGGCTGGAAAACTTTAACCTTCGATATCTCCTAAACGGTTAGAGATACAGGCCTCGGTCTGGCACCAAAATAAAGTCCTCTCAAAACCCTACATTTTCGACTACATGGACGACTCTCTACTCCCAGTAGAAGCGGAGATATCGACGGAGGAAGGCTGGATATCGACGGAGAAAGGCTGGAAAACTTTAATCTTCGATATCTCCTAAACGGTTAGAGATACAAGCCTGGTTCTGGCACCAAAATAAAGTCCTCTCAAAACCCTACGTTTTCGACTACATTGACGACTCTCTACTTCCAGTAGAAGCGGAGATATCAACGGAGAAAGGTTGGAAAACTTTAACCTTCGATATCTCCTAAACGGTTAGAGATACAGGCCTCGGTCTGGCCGTGTTGGCCGCTCTCAGCTTCCTCTCTGCTCGTGAACATAGCACAGAACAGAACCAAATAATTATGGACATAGCACGGAATAGTACCAACAAATCGTGGACATTGGCATAGTAGTTCATGGCCATGAAAAATGGACCCAGTTGGCGCTTCGAATCAGCCAACTTTTCCATAACGCTGTAAATGCAGCCATGCCCGTTCTCAGGCTTCTCTCTGTGTTCGCGCGGAAACCGAAGCGAACGCGTGCCGGGACCGCTTCGCAAGAAGCGCGGGAGAGTGTGGAACAGGTCGCAGAGGACGGGTTACACCAACAATAGAATCGAGATGAATCTCGGTCGATGCGGCGAAATGCTCTTAAATAAATGTATTTAACCGGGTTACAATGAATCGCAGCGCCGGGAGAAATGCCTCGGAGCTTCGAACAGTTGATCTCGCGGCGGTAGCGATTTTCGTGAGCGGCGGGTAATCGACGCGCCCGGCTATCGGAAACGATAATCGGCGTAGGACGTTACACAGTTTAAGTTTAGACAAATTCGCGAAACAAAAAAAACAGTAAGAAAAGAATGATTAATTGAAAGTCCGGTTAGGACAGCGAACAAAACTGAGAGTCCGTCCGGGACAACGAGAAAATTCGGAGTGAGTTCCAGCGGTGGAAAAATCTCGAATACAAAATTGATGCTTCGAACGGATTCTCGATTAGAACAAAAAAAAGTCTTATTGGATTAGTTGGCGCTCAATGATTGGTTCAGCCTCCCAAGTTCACATCCCAAGTTTTGTTTGGAAGAGTGTTTTCACGTGTCGGGAGGCCGAACAATCACGCCGAGCGCAGCGAGTATCGCACGAGACATTAGAATGTCGGAGAGTCGCCTCGCACGTGTACGCTGACGTCAGCGGCGACACAGCGATCGTGATCGTGTAAACATCACGCGCAGCGTTGCTGATTCTCGGCGAATCCGCAACACTCTAGTATCTCGGTGTCTTTGCTTTGCAAGTAGTATGTCTCAACGACAAATTAGGCATGCTTTTTGAAATAAATATATTTCACGTACAACACGTTCGGTTTTCGTTTATTATTCATTTATTTCAAAATAATAGAATTAATAACGGGCAAGAAACGGAGTTTAGAACATGTAACATCCGTAGAACATGACCATCCAAAATTTTATAGAACTATTACTAGCAAGCGGCATTTTGTTTCATAAATTACCGGGTATGGTAATTTTCCAGATGCTGAACGACCTTTTTGTTAGCGCTAATTATAAAAATCTTAAAGAATAATTATCAATCTGTAAAATATGTTTTCAAGAAACTATGTGAAGCATACATTTTCGCTTAATTTCCGTAACAATGATGCATTATGGAGAATTCTACACATATCTTGAATGATGTATCTATATGCGTGAAGGATTTCAGTAGTACCGGAGATAGGTTAGAAAAACATCCTCGTGTTTGATGTTCACATAACAAGTTTGCGTTGTGTTACATAAGTTACAATGCTAATTTCGGTGATTCGGAGATGTGCGCCGTACAATTTACGAGTCGTAGCATCTGTTATTTCTAGAAATAAAACGAAGACAAAGGTCGCACGATATGACAATGAGTTAAATCTATTGTATACGTCACTCCCACATCTTGCTGCTTATAGAATTTACAGTACTAAACGTGATTCTCAGTCACGGGTTACTTTACCCACACTCGTGGAAGGAACCCCTGTATCTATACCAAGTTTTATAACCCCATTGAAACTTTTATATTTATCAATTTTTAAAATTACTCCATATATAGATAAAGATTTTAATATAGCTGAAGTTCTGCAAGGAGCCCAATATGTATGATTCTTTTATATCTGATTAAAAGGCATTGTTTACACATTAATAAATAAATGACTGCAATTTTAGGCATCAATAGTAATATCAAAGGCTTTAGCAAACAAAAACTTTGAATTCTTAAAAGATCTTATGACGGAAGATATGATTGAGATCTTAAGCAAAAAGATTGAAACGTTAAGTCCTAGTGAAAGACAGCTGATTGAATTAAACGAGAATAATATTGTACTTTGTATGTTATCGGATATCACAGCTACAACAAGTTCAAGTAATAGTATTTTCTTAATCAGTATTACGGTATAGTTAGGAAAATATATTAAACAAATATTTTCTTTTATAGGTAGCGAGCATTCCATTGCAGTTACAACAATTTGTCATTATAGCCCAAATTTTGATAGAAGGAGTTATAAAACATCTACAGAAAGCTTTATAAAAGTTGGCTTATTAACTGATCATCTTGTATGTAATTATACATTTACTCGTAAATATGTAAATAACATTGGAAGTTCTTGGATTGCAACTTTAGTGAATCATTTTACTATGTCATAAATATATCTGTAAGATAGATTCAAATAAAAACTTGTACAAATCTGTTTAATCATTATTTAACCTGTTTAACCATTTGTTATCATTACTGGATAATTAATTTCTGGTTGTTCAACATTAGTTTGTATATTTATAAATAAAAAATATCAATAGAGACAATATATACTGTGTATAATCTTTATGTAAATATCTATATATACAATAATATAAAAGTGTCATTTTTGTCAAAAAATAATCATATACATATATATATTACATATTAGTTGTTGATATTTTCTAATATTAATGGGATATAATTTTTGATATGTAACAATGTGGCACCAATAGGAGTTCCATTTTTTGAAACAGATACAACCAAGGGTCCCTGTAAGATATATTTGAAATAATATTAATAACCTGTATATTATATATAATAATATTGCAAATACAGTTTATATGCATACAATACCTGACACATTTGTGGATTAAATATCCAACATTCTTGCTTAAGAGTAGTTTGAAACAAGTTATTCTGCTTTGTAGGTACAGAATTAAAAAAATTTACTTCCAGATGCTCTAAATTACATATTGAAACCTTGATTATATTTAAATAAGGCTCCATAAATAATGAAATTGTAACTTTTGCTGAGATAGCAGCTTGCTTGAAATTTATTTCAAAAGAATTGGCTGAGAAGGCTATTAATTTATTCAAGTTATTCAATGCAGATGATGGGTTTCCTGTAACAGTAAATATATATACATACTCATTTATATCTACAATGCATTAAGTAAAAAGCAAACTTTTTGTGCAACAGATACTTTACTTTTGTAAATGGCATCGGTGAGGCGGAAAGGTTTGGTAATGGTTAATGCAAACATTGGTATTTGGTTACGCTCTGTTCCTTTCAACCATGTATCTATCGCTGTAAATATATATATATATATATATATATAACTCAGCAAAATTATCATCAAGAAATCTAAAGTCTGTATAAAAATCTGTATAAGTTTTTCCATATCTCTTACATTTCCCTACTTCTTCAAATATTTTTGTAACTGGGATATCTTTACTGATGTATTTGCTCAAATGAGTCGCATACAATCCATACTTGCTGTTTATTCGTTCATAACTAGGGCGATGACTAGATGTAGAGTATGCTTGCACTAGATTTCTTAGGTTTTTTCTACTCTTAAATTCTTTAACTTTTGGTATTTCATTATGAATATCAGGATTACATTCTCTGGAACAACATTCATTCAATAAGATGTACTTAAATACTTAAATATACCCAGTTATATATTGATACAATTTCATATTTGAATCTTTTTAAAGTATATAAAAATGGGCAGTAACTAGATCCTTACTTTGGTGGTACAGTTTGACACATATCCAATATTGTTACTAAAAGAGCAGGATCATTTTGTAATAATGTAGCTAACAATTCACTTTCGCAAATTGCATCTTTTCTTAAATAAGATTCTGGTGCATCAACAGCAAGCATGTAACTTTCTTGCATTTTAAAACCATGCCCAGCATAGTAGAATAATCCTACATTGAAAGTAAATTTTTGAGAGTTTATTATATCTGTATACATACTACGTTTGTAAAACTTACCATAAACACCTTCTGTTAAAACTTCACCAAATATTTTCATAGCTTTTCTCATCTGTTCAAAAGATAAATTTGCAAAACAAATCACTTTAAAACCAATCTCTTTTAATAGATTACCAATTTTTGCAGCATCATTTTTGGGTGTCTTTAGGCATTTATGATTTTCATAATCACCATTTGCTATAATTAAAGCTATTTTTGCAACTGCCTTTTGACGAGGTAAATCCTCCTACATATTTTAATATGAATTATTATCTGATAAAAGGGTACATATATATTTATTTTGTGAAACATTATAAAATATATAATTATTGTGTAAAGTGTATTTACCATCACATGACATCTTTGAGTAAAAACCTCGCTGACGTTGTTGGTTATATAACAATAATACTTTCCTTCAAATTTAGAGTTAAATTGTTTTATCTAAAACAAAACATTTATTTGAAATAGTTTGTAGTATTAATATTGTAAATACATGCAATGTATTGAATGTTTTTCCTTCTAGTTGTAAATACTTACGTGCAATATATTGGATGTTTCTCCTTCTAGTTTTGTATTATCTCTGAACCATTGATAATGTGGTTCTGGATAGCTATGTACTGTACAACTAATTACAAAGTCTTCTCCTTCTCTAACTTCTAAAAGAATAGGTGGTTGTTGCTGTATAACTACAGGTACAGGGGATATATTTACAAAAACTGATTTGGTCATTAATATAGAAATTATGCTTCCATCATTAGTCATCTGTGATACTTTACACTTATATTCCCCAGCTTGATTGGAACTATAAGAGATTTCATACAATAATCAAATATATTGCATTTGTGTTCAAACATAATATTTTTACCTAGTTATAATAATATCAAGTTCATGTTCTTGTTGTTCCAGTAGCTCAATATTGTTGTGATACCATTTATAAGTAGGTAATGGTACACCAGTAGCTTTACAAGAAAGACATAGATGCTGATCAAAGGATAATTCTATTGTATTATGTTCCATATTGTCAGATGGATGTTTGACAATTGTCAAAAGCTCTAATAAAGAATAAAAAAGATCTATAAAGATTTAATATAAGATTTTCTTTTCATCACATATATACATGAGTTAATTAAAAAGAAACAACTCATAACCTGTTCGTAAACAACTCTGAATATAAATGAAATTAAGTTCTAACACATCATACATAGTTATCTCCACTTCAACAAAAATAAGTATATATATGAATTACCTGGATGATATAAAACCGATAGGACATTAACAAGTTCACAGTCTTTAAGTAATGTACAAAGTATACCAATTGTACACATTTTTATATTTAATTCAAACAGTAGATTAGCTGCTGGTGTTTTTGTAGAACTTGTACCTTGTTGCAGTGACTGCAGCCATGAGTTACTATTTAAAAGTCAGAGAAACTTATTGAGAATAATTGTTTGTTAATTTTTATAATAGCCTGAATTATTTCAAAATCATTTTACCGTGAATATCCAAGTTGTTCAGCCAAGTGACAAGCCAATACTTTCCAATTCGAATTTTTGTCCAATTCATAGATCAATTCCTTGTATACAGTTAGTGGAATTTGTTCCAGATACATATCTTCATCAAATTTTGCCATTTTTAATGCACTTACTTCTATTTTCCTACTTTCCCACAAAAAAAGGTAATGAAACTATATTATCGGTGTTGCATGATCTGCTCGACCGTCAACACTCGCTCCCACACTGAATCATTCTTCATAGAAGAAGGAAATAAAAGGAGGAAAATATGGAGATAATATTTCAGTGAAAATCACATTTATTTTAATCCTTATCTTCAATATGCATTCTCTTTCCTACTTTCTCTGTGAGTGAAAACATAAAAATATCTCACACAATAGTACAACTGTATTTATGTAACATACATATCAATTTTATTCACTTTGTAAAATGTACGGAGGCAATTGCGTATAAACAAACGTAGAAGGATTGCACGCATTTTCTCTTCGCCACTCTTCAGTCCAATACATTTAATCGACAAACTGATCGGGCGCGCTAATTGGCTGTTGGATGAAGTACAAAATGAATGAAGAATATCGCGCATCAGCTGTCCGACCTGAAAGCTTCGTACTCTCATAGGCTTATGACGGCGGATTTATAGAACGCGTGAGGATCACGTACAAAAGAACCGACCAATCGCGTGTGCAACATGGAGGCTACAACGTTGCGTTCTTCATTGTTTCGTGGCTTCGGTGCAGCGCGAGGGGAATCATAAATCCAAATATACACGAACGCACAAGGCTGGTTCACGATATCAATCGTGCGAAGTAAAACGCGCCGCCAGGGAGATCGCGCCAGCGACCTCTCGCGGCGGGCTCGGTAAAAATCGATCACAGCAGGCCGCGCTGGTCGTTCACAGGAACGTGCCAGCTGTGTCCATTGCGGACGCGGCCGCAAGTGAACGGGGCACCGTGCAACCAATCGTACCGTGAAATGCAAGTCCTGCGCAATGCGCATGGCGCGCTGCGCCGCATGATCTTGCGTATCAGTGTTCGCCAGTGCCATCCTCGAGGCACACAGTGAGCAGGTTACGGGGTTATACCGCGATTACTGGCCGTGCGATTCTGCCGAGCAGCGGTGCGTCGTCCGTCGGGACGACGACGACGACGACGACGACGACGAGGACGACGACGACGACGACGACGACGACGACAACGGCGACAACAACAACAACAACAACAACAACAACAACAACAACAACGAACGGAGGGAAAAAGGGAAGCCGCGAGGGGGCAGAGCGCCAACGACGACGACGACGACCACGACGACGACGGTGGTGGTTGGTGGTGTTGGTGATCGTGCTCCCGCTAGTGGTAGTTGGCGGTGGTGGTGGTGGCGGTGGGTGCTCCGGGTTCCTCCGCGCGCGCGAGAGAGAGAGTGTGTCCGCGAAAAACTAGTGCCGAGCCATCATGGCGAACCCACGGAAATTCAGTGAAAAGATCGCGCTGCTGAATCAGAAGCAGGCGCAGGAGACGGCGGCGTTCGAGGCGATCATGCGGGAGGTTTCGGACGTCACGAGCAGGGTAAGTGAAAATATTCTCAAGTGAGAGCTCCCCGTGGCGTGGGAGGGTCGTGTGCCCGTGTGTCGTGCCGTGACCCGTCGTGCACCTCCCTCGCGCGCGGCTCAGATGTTGGAACGTAAACAACGAGTGTCCCCCTTGCCTCTCCCACCTTGCTCCCTGCCCCGACCTGTGTTCTCCGTCTAATTCCTATCTCTTTTCTCGTTGCACTTGCACCGTACGCGCGATACATCGCGCATCGGTATGTGTGTGTGTGTGTGTGTGTATACGTGCGCGCGCGTGTGCGTGTGCGTATGTGTGGCGCGTACAGCCAGGTTGCTCCGCGCGAACGTGTACATGTGCGATTGCAAGTGCATCCGTGTGTGTGTGCGTGTGTGTGTGCGTGTGCGCGCGCGCGTGCGTGTGTATGCGTATACCGCGAGCGACGCGTACACAACGCGACGAAAGCGCGAGGATTTGGTGGCGCGGGCGCGATCGCTTCGACAGCGAGGAGCACGTTGATCCGCGACTCGCAGCGTGCGAGTGCGCACGACGATGCGACGAGCCGCGGAAAGCCGTTGGATCGCCGCTCGAAACGCGTCTCGCGATCGCGCGGCGAATTACACTCGGCTGATTACGCGCGCTGCCTGACCGCGTTCGCGATCGACGCGAGTTTGAAATTCGCCTCGGCTCGCGCTCGAGACGCGCGCGCGCGCGCGCCGCGATCGATGCTTGTTGTCGGCTCGCGGGATCTGGGAAATTAATTCCACCGTCCGCAATTAATCGGAACGCGCGCGCACGCTGCTCGAGCGTCTTTCATTTCGCGCGCGCGCTTCCGGATGTCGAGCGAGCGTAGACGTTTCAACGGAAACGCGCTCTCTTTCGCTCAACACAGCCCCGCGAGCGGCTTGACGTTCGATCACGGTGCGTTCCATTTCTCGATTCGTTCTCATGCGCGTGTAAACATCCCGCTCGCGTTGCTAGCGGCGCCGCGCCGCGCCGGCCCGCGGCCCCTCGGCGTATTTTCAATGGGAGCGCCGCCGAGAGAGAGAGAGAGAGAGAGAGAGAGAGAGAAAGAGAGAGAGAGAGAGAGAGAGAGAGGTTGGGTCGATGCATTCGGCGTCCTCGAATAATGCACTGCCGCGTGCATCGCGCGCACTTGGAACACAGTCGGCATGCCGGGGAGCGTTCTCCGTTCGTACGGAAGACAAGGAAGACATTCGCGTGGGATTATTCGATGTTCTCTCTCGGGGCGCTTCGGTGCGGGAAAATGATCGGGTCTCGTCCGTGTGTCCGTGAAGTAATTGACGCGTAAATTGCCCGGTGCAATTGTCTCGAATGGAAAACGCGAGTTTTCGCTCAGCTGCGAACCGCCACGTGTCAACCTGCCGCCGCCGTGCGTTTTTAAAGGCCCGTCAGCTGACGAGCTTTAAACTGTCACTCGCCGGGCCATCGCGCGTCTACCTGCCGTGCGTCGGCTAAAACGTCGTGAGCGCGTCGTCAGGCCAAATTTGTTCACAGTCGGGACTCTTCGAGCGCGTTCGAAAGGCGATCGGAGAACGGCATCCAGGCATCGGCTCACGAGATAAGAACCTGTTTATCGCGCGGTCCATAAACGCGCGCGCGCGCGAGATGTAGAATTGCGGAGTTAATCGGACGAAACAGCTAGTCGGCCGTGCGAACAAACGAGATTCGATTCGACGCGCGAAACGCGCGAGCGTAACGCGCGATTGTTGCCGATGTAGTCAACGACGTCGAGAAATTGCATGTCGCAAAATTGTCGCGGAAGAAGGCACGACGGCGACGTTTGGAGGGAACAGCACGAGAGTATTCCGAGTTCCTCGTCGCTGGATAAGCGAGACCGGCGGTCCAAATTCAAAAAAAGAAATAAAAAATAGAGAGAGAAAATCTGTAGTCTCTGTTTAACATTCGAGTGTCTGCTATTGCAAAGATCGCAACACGTTCTACGCGGACGTTCTACCGTGTACAGGCACAAAATTACAAGATGCGAAATTGCACGAGCAAAGACTCACGATAGGCGGCGCAGAAATCAGAGCACAAGACGACATTGATCCGAAAACGAGCACAGAGTTAGCGTTAAAATCGCACGACGACTGCGAAAACGAGACGACAGGTCGGAAAAATGCGCGTCGACACCGACTAGAGATTAAGGGTGTAAAGAGAGCGCTTACGGTCGCTTAACGTGCTTGCGAGACGATGGCAATGCTTGGTTGTCAATGACGGACTTGCACAGGTGGCCTCGGCGAGCAGCTCGGTGGGTGCTAGTCCCACGGGATCCGGCGTACCGGAGACCCCGCTGTCCGTCAAGAGTGCCGGCGCCAGTCCACCGCAGTCCAGCGGCAAGCATCTGCATATTAACCTGGGGAATCAGTTCAGGGCGGGCGGCTCGCTGCCGAACGTTAACAACAATGCGAATTGCGGCGGCGACGCGAAAGAGCACTCCTCGCCGCATACCGGCGCGATCCACTCGATCGACCTTAAGGTACTGCTCGCTCGCTCTCTCTTTCTCTTTCTCTCTCTCTCTCTCTCTCTCTCTCTCTCTCTCTCTCTCTCTTTCTCTATCTCTATCTATATATCTATCTATCTATATATCTATCTATCTATCTATCTATCTCTGTTCCTGCCAGAACGATGCCACATTACCTCCTCTCTTGTTATAGTTGTTGTTATTGTTGTTGTTGTTTGTGTTGGTGTAGTTGCTGCAGCCCTTACGCCTTGTCGCTCATAAACATTTTGCACCCCTCCCGGAACGCCCTCGTTCTCGCGTCACGGAGAAAAAATTCTCATCCGAGTCCTCGTGTTTCGGCGGTCGGCCGTTCCGAATTGATAATCCGGAAAAAGGGAGAGAGAAATTTGCCCGGCGCGACTTGTGCGCGTATTAACGAGCAATTAATCGCTTGAATTAACAATTATTAACTTCATCCACGGGGCGGCAGCACGTATCAAAATTCGCGGGAGATGAATAATTTTCAACATCGCCGGCGCGGCCAACGACACTCGAAGATTCCGACGACGATATCGCGGATGACGTAAACGTGTGTGTCGAAATTTACATCGGTACGGTGCCAAAGTCGCGGCAAAGCGCGCAGCCTCGATTATCTCAATTTATTTCAATCGAGTCAATTTGTTTTTAATTAATTGCGAGAGAGCTCTCTCTGTCTCTCTCTCTCTCTCTCTCTCTCTCTCTCTCTCTTTCTCTCTCTCTCGAATGCTATTCGCGCGAACTCGACTTTTCTTCCATCCTTCTTTCTTTCTTCGCCGAAGAACAACGGGCAAAGGCCACTTTGCGGCGCGTGACAACTCCCGCCTGCTCTAAAGCAGGCCGAAATTCACTATCTTCCGCTATCGTTCCGAGTCCGTCTCGAGAGAAAGCCATCTACGCGACGGCGCAAGATGAAAGACTTTTCTCCGTGTTACCTTCAAGGGTCGTTCCGCATCGCAAGGCGCACCTCACGATCGCACTTTTGTCCCACACCTGGTCCCAGTGTGACTCATCTGCCGAGGTGAACGCACTGCAGATCTCTATCTCGATTAGTGTACCGAAGAAGCGCGCTGTTCGTTTCGTTAGCGACGAAACGGGAAAAGCCGATGAAGCGGCACACGCCTGCGTTGCTGCGAATCGACGTCACGCTGTCGAACGCGCGCTACACACGCGAGCGCTGGATCGCGACCGGTGCCGATCGTAGTAGCGATTTCGCTCCCTCTGTAGCGCCGTTCATTTATTTATTTATTCGTTTCTTTTTTTCTTCCGCTCTTTCATCCACTTCCTTTTTCTCGCTCGAGTGTTCCCGCATAGCGATATGCAATTGCATGTTATTTACGCAATGACACGAATTAAAGCGATTTCCGATTGCACTGAATGTCACGTAGTTGCACAATGTGTCACGGTTATTCTAAGCGTAGCAATTAAATTAACGCGCAGCCCATGATTACGCGAGAGATGTCCGTATGAGTGGAACAGCGTAACATTACATACGTACATGCACGCTCCGATCGTGAGTGTGTTACGTTGGAGAGACAAAGGAGAAGAAAATCGAGACTCGGATGAACGAGGATTTTGTTCGCCGTTGAACTCTACGGTCCTCCTCCTGATGTGTCACGTGCACAGCTCGTAGTCGCGCACGAATGAAATTCCGATCGATTTAAGTCGAACCGAGCGGGAGTTTCGTCCGCGTGCGATCCTTTTCCGCCACTTATGCGTGACATCGAGACATTAATATGCGCCAAGTTCTAATACCGTAACTGCGATATACTTTTTCCCTCCCTCCTTTCCTCCCTCTCTCTCTCTCTCTCTCTCTCTCTCTCTCGCTCTTTGAGATATCCAATTTTACGCTCTTTCTCTCAGTGAATTCCAACGTAGCGATCGCCTGTGGAATGTTTTAATCCTTAAACAGTTTCGGAGGTATCGCGCTCGGAGAGGCGGTCGTTTCAAAGTGCGTTTGTCACGCTTTACAAAACGGAGAAAATAAATAAAAAGAACGGAAGGAAAAACATGAAAACGCGTTTAACTGCGTTTAACTATGATAACGGCGCTTGAAAATCGCTTGATCGTTGAATTCTTTATCGCGAGCCGTTTAGAAGTTAGAGCACGTTTTTAGGAGGCATTTAACTTCGTTTTTAAAGTCTCCGAAACTCCGCATCCCGAGGAATCAAACGTGTTTACGCGATACGCTGAAACTCGGCGTGAATCACGGTGTCTCGATATTTTGCGTCACGAAAGGATATTCGGAGTAAGAGACGACAAAGAAGACGTCGGTTGTTTGTCACCTCCCCATCAGACACTCGCGCATGTGAAATCACCATCACCATATTCGACCAGGACCAGCGAGAAGTCGCTCCGGTAAAAACTGGCACAATTTATTCCCCACTTATTTATTATTATAGAGAAAATACTTTCATGGAAATAGGCCCCGTCATTAATAACTTCCCGAAGTGTTCCAAGTATCCCTCCTCCCGAGGGATCGACCGCGCGACACGAACTCGCGGCACAAAGTCACGAAATCGCGCGACGAACTTACTGCCGTCAGGGCTTTCGTGAAGTTTTAACGAATGTAAATTGACCGTCCACGTGGAGAGTAGCCCGGCGACTTGCAATATACAATGAACTTTTCAGCGGGATAATTCGAGATTCATACGCGGCAACATCTGCCGTTCTCTCTCTCTCTCTCTCTCTCTCTCTCTTTTTCGCGGGCGCGCGCGCGTCTTTCTCCGTGACGGCAAATTTCGCAAAATAATTCCGCATACTTCCGACGCGACTCCGACTAAAGCCGAGAGCGAAATGCGCACTTCCTCCCCCCCTTTTACCAGTTGCACGTTAACCGTAACAATAATTAAATTTCTTGGCCGAGAAGTTTCATCGCGCTCGCGAGCGTTCGTAGGGTTCGCGAGAGGGACGAACATTACTGCGATATTATTCGCCGTCGAGCGTCTCTAACGAAGACATTACGTAATAAAGTTCTTTCCTCGTAAATGCCGCCGGCTATGCCCACTTGTGATTTCATGATTGGTAACGGTAATCGGGGTATTACCGCCGTGCGTAAACAAGCAATTAACCCGCGAATCTTTCCGCGACAGGCCACTTTCCCTCCCTCCCCCCCCCCCTCGGCCCATCCTGCCGCCCGTCTCAGCCCGACGCACTCTACACAGTTCCTACAGTTCTGCAAAAGTGAGAGAAGTCATATGGTACGAGAATCAAAGGCGATTCAAGTCGTAACATTATCTACAATAAACATCTACAATAAACATCTACGATAAACATTATTTAATCCAGCACGGACTCATAAGTGGCTCGGATCTAACGCGTTTTCTCATATGCGCATATTAATAATTTATCTAATCGTTTCACATCTGCTATAATAATTTTATTCTCACGTTACAGATCTTGTGTCGCGTACTCGTCATGATTAATCGCTATTGTTATAACACAAGTGACATTTCTCGGGCTTATACGTAACTTGATTTTTCCCTCGCTACTTCTTTGTACCTCGCGTTCCTCCGCGTGCGATTTCCGCTCCGGGTCGTAACGTCGCGCGCGGGATGTTTCGGAGAACGTCGTCGCTCCTGGTCGTCAAACTTGGGTTAACAAACTCCTTCCGTGCGCCGAATTACACCATGAACCACAGCTGCAACGTCACCATTCAAACGTATCATTCGCGAAGGAGAGCAATGCGATTTGACATTTCGGCCCCGCGCGCGCAACATTCGCGCGCAGCGCACAGAGGCACGCCGCGTGCTTCGACTCGGCGTTGAGAGTGCTCAAACTTGAGATACGAGTCAGAGTTTACTTACTTCCGGTACCGTTCCTTGGACACACTGCGCTACCTTGAATATCTTCTCGCACGGATCCGCGCCGTCTGCAAGATCGATCGATCGCGTCAGGAAACGGGAAGCGACTCATTCGCGCGAGGCGCCGGATAATAACGTGAAGTTTGCGCGAAGGGCGCCTTCGCGGCTGACTTTTTACCTTGCTTGGCGCATTTGGTCAAGAGCTTGGTGCCTATCTCCTGATACTGCTCGGGTATGACGCTGATCAGCATGTCGGCCTCCAAATCACCCTCTTCGTCGACCTGTGCCGGAGTATCGTTCTCGTGAGTCTCGCGTTTGACTCGCCGCGAGCGTGACGAGCGCGAATTAAGAATACTTGATAATTACCAAACTGAACGCGTCGAGGAGACAATTCATGTAGCACGTTATGGAACGGTCGTCCGACAGATGTCCGTCGTTGACTTGGTCGATCAGGTCTGCGGAGTCGGGACGAAATTAGAACGAAATTAGAATGTCCGATTCAACTCGTGAGGGAATGCGGCTGGATGATAACGTCCCGAAGATTTCAGAGTGTCTCTCCCCGGAGACGTTCGCGCGCGAAGGGTCACGCTCGATCGGATTATCGCAAGCGCAGCGTCGTCGAATGATCGTCGCCGATTCATCAGCGTGGTATCATCGGCCGAGCATCGACTAGTAGTAGATAGTAGGGATGCAACGATTTCTCAAAATATCGATAACGATATTATAGAACGTCGATATTTAGAACCATCAATAACGATAATATCGATAATTTTGAAAAGTATCGATATTTATATCGATTTCTATATAAAAATATACATATAGGTGTATGCGTATAAAGAGTATACACGAGAAATTTTTAAAATCTTTTAAAAATTTTTATCTCCGTATAATTTATTGTCATATTCTTATCAGAAGATATGTAATAGATCGCAGTCGTTTGCCGGAGATCACCGCATACATGGAGCGGGAGATCTATTACGGTTCAACGATCGAGGTGAAAATGATAAAAGTGAGCGAATTTGCTATTGACATCGACCAATTACCATAATATGTATTCTAGTGAATTCGCTTTTATAATTTTCATCTCGGTCGTAGAACCGTAATAGGCCCCCCGAGCTGTAACTGCAAAATACGAAATATCAATAAAATTCATATCGACATATCGATTTTATCGGAGATAAAAAAATATCGATAAATATTCGATATATTTGTCTCTCGATGTGTCGATATTTCGATATTATCGATTTATCGTTGCATACCCTATACCAGATAGAGACGGTCGCGCATAATTTCTCGCCGCGAGACGAAGAGAAAGGCACGGGAAGAGCGAACTCACCTTGAGACGTGCCGTGTTCAGCCATGCACCGTTCCTTGTCACCTTGAACCATCTCCAACATTTCCGGGGGCACCCAGTCGGGCGGCTGCACAAAATCAGAATTTATTACGCGTGCGGGAACCCTCACGCGTACCTCTGCCGCTCGACAAATCGCGCGCGCGCGCGACGTCACGTCTCTATACGTGCACATACATATGCACATACACACATATTGCAGTATCTGTATATACATGTGTATGTACACATAGAAGTCACTATCACCGCGATATCGCTTCCCTTATCAGGAAGTCTAGGGGAGCCTAGCCCGGCGCCTATCGAAAGTAAGAAGCTAAGAGGCTTACCCCGGCGGACACGCAAATCGCCTGTAGCAACACCACACCGAGTATCAACGACACGTATACGGTGCGCATCTTTGCCCCGTGTGTGTGTGTGTGTGTATGTATGTATACGTTCACAACTCGCAGTGCAAGGCGACACGACTTGCGATTCCCGCGGTCACTGTTCCACGACGAAATATGTGCCGTCCGCGTCGGCGGCCGCGCTTTTTATAACGCAACGGAATATGCACGAGATGTGGGCGGAGGGCTAATGTCACGTATCCTTCGTTCGCTAATTGAGGCTCTCCGCCGTTAAGTCGCCGGCTAATCCCCGGCTAACGTCCGTCTCTCTGGACGGAAGCACGTGCAGAATTATGTATGCGCTCGTGTCCACGACCTTGAATGCATCCTGCGTCGTCCTCGAGCGCGCAGGCTCGCTCGCGCCGGTCGATTTTCATCGACCAGGATCGAGCAGGAAAAGCCGGCGAAAGAGCGGATGTCTCTCCACCACGTTGTTCTTCCTTCTTTGCGCGGTGCCACGACATCGCCGCTGTCGGGGGACGGACGGAAACAGCGATCGTCTCGATCGAGATTCCTCGCTTGATACCACGCGAGGGGCGCTCTACTCGAAGGATGCAATTCTGCCTCTCGCGCGCGTTTTCTTTCACGTCTCACGCAACCGATTATAGTCAAACACAATGCGCGGAGTCGCGCCGTTTCTTACGTAATCTTATCAATGCCTAAACAAAGCATATCCGCTGATAATGCACGGAAGATATTGCACCGATATAATGTCGTAACCAGGAAAGATGCAATGCGTGTAATGATCCTCAAATTACCGTTCAATTACGAATCCACCGACGATAACCGTGGTAGAGGATCATCATGGATAATCAAGAACGGTAATAACTAATTACCGGCCAACTTTGCCATTTGGAATTCCGGGCAAGAGAGAGAGAGAGAGAGAGAGAGAGAGAGAGAGAGAGGAAAACGCCGGGAGGGAGAATTTTTGTCAAGAGCGCGTGCGTCGCGACACGCCGATTTGATGCTTCCGATCGCATTGTCACCCTAATGACTCGGAATTACGGAGCCCGATTTCGATATCGTGAGCGCTATACCTCGACAACAGTAGGTAATTGTTTGCTCATGGATACTGCAATATCATAGCCGCGCGCACCCGCGCGCGCCGGAGATAATTAACACGGAACGAATTCGCGTTTCGGTTTAAAGTAGCGCGCGCGCGCGCGTATCGCGTATCGAGCTGTAACGAAGCAATTAAATCGCGCCGCAGAACACAATACCGAAATCGCGTCGTGCATTATTATCGACGTGCCGCGCGCGCAAGCGGCGGAGCAAGGGCGGCGCGCGCGGCTCGGCATTCTCGGATTGAACGGCGCGCGAGACGGAATCGGCGAACCCCGCCGGTTGATCCGCCGACGTTTTCTTTCTTCCGCGTCGACTTGCGCGTCGCAACTTCCGCCGCTAATCGTCCTTCGGGGTTTTTCACCGGATTATTACGAGCGCGCAGCGTCGCGATCGGCCGTCGTCGACGAGATATACAGCTGACCAAACAGTGTACAACGCGACAGGGAAGGACTAGACTTCGGTTCGACTAGAGCAAGGACTCTCTCCTCGTTCTCCTCTTCCCTCGCCGGCGACTTTGATGAAATCCGCAAGCGGCCGCGCGCGACTTGGCAGGCACGTGCCGCGCGTCGCAAAATCGTGTGTATAATTTGGAATAATATGTAAGGCGCGGGCAGAGAGCGTATTCGAGAATAACCAGCCGAGACCTTGCAAGTCCCGCTGAATAAATGATGCTTCCTAAGCTGCCTTATAGCTCCGCGAGAAATTGATCGGTCATAAGGACGCAATGAGAAGTCATTGTTTGGTCTCGGAGTAACATAATGTCGCGGATAAGCTCCGCTGCTTATTAATACCCCGGCCTTGATAAAGCGCGCTCGGTTCGAGAGTTCGCGAGTCCTATATCGAGATCGCTTATAGTCCGCGACGTTAAGTTTGTCACTTGTCAATCATAGCGTGTCGCTGCTAGCTGATTATCTCAGTTTCCCGTCCGAGCTGTCCTGGAAAAATCACGGGCGAGAGAAGCGCCGCGACTCGGATCCGAACTGCGCCCTCGGCGCCGTTGTTTCTGCTTCCTCCTCCTCCTCCTCCTCCTCCTCCTCTTCTTCTTCTTCTGCTTCTTCTTCCTTTTCTCGCTCGCCATATCGAGGACCGGCACGCGAGAGAAATAAACTCGCGCGATGTTATTAGCGCGCGCACGCGGGTGCATTGCTACCGAGTTGCGTTGGCCGTGCCAAGGTCAAGTTTCGATCGCGACGCGAGAACGCAGCGTCTTATCGACTCCTATCTCTGCCGGATACGATCGGGGTCAAGAGACCTCCCCGGGTTTCTTACCCCGTTCGTCCGATCATTCGCGGGAGGCCTCCCTTCGCCTCGATGCCGACGCAGTGCGCGCTCGCGTTCAACTTTCTCGCGCGCGCACGCGAATCGATCGAATTTCCGGAGCGGATTCCTGTTCCTGCGCACGTGTCGTCGTCGCGGCGCACCTACCTACCTACCTACCTAACGCCTGAGACCAGCCGTTCACGCCGCGTCGCGACGCCTCGTGCGAGGCCTCCACGGCTCGCCCGATCGCGCGGCGCGATCAAATTCAATGGCAGCTCCAAGGGCGGCGAGGCGTACGTGCCGACGGAAACATAAATAGTGCGCACCCCCGGCGGAACAATGCTCCGTCGTAACCAGCCCCGCGGAACCCTCTCGGAGTTACGTGTGCTCGCGTAACGTTCCCCTCCCCTCCCCTCCCCCTCCGCCTGCACCCCTTCCGTTTCCGCGACACCTGCGTGACGAGTCTAAAACAAGCGGCGGTCTCACAAGTTAAGCGAAACTGGAAGCGCGGAGCGAGCGACTGGCCGGGCGAACGACGAACAAAACGAGGATGACGAGAGATCTGAAATTGGAGAAAAAAGAGAGGCGAGAGGCGCCGCTGGCTGCTCGCGGCGACTTAATCACACGATAAGCCTGGCGGACGCAAAAAGGATGAAGAAGCAGGCAGGCGCTCCTCCGCGCAACGAGCGAGAGCCTGCCTCCCCTGAACACCCTTTAGAGAATGACTGAGGAAAGTTCGCGTGAAAGAATATCCCTCCAATGATGCGAGTAACCATGAAAGCTCCAGGGGCATAGCAGAAAACAAACGCGTACACGTGCTTCGGCGCGCGCGAGTGTGTGCTCTCGCACACGGAATATTGATCGCGCGACGCGCGGTGCAGGTAGCCGCGGTCGGCGCGTTCGCTCGCTCGCTCGCTCAGCAGTTTCATTCTCTGAGCGTGTCGATTGTTACAGCCGCTGCGGTCGCAGAAGCGCGCTTCGCGCTTATCGCGTCGTGTTGCGAGGCGAGCCCGAGAGGAGCGGCACTCGCTCTCGCGGCTCTCGCGGATAATCTCCAACGAGAGCGTGCGAATACGCTCTTACACGCGTCGCCAGCGCGTTGAGGGAGCAAGATCTCTCCTCGTCCCTGGATCCGCGTCGGCCGTTTCAGCCCGGCTGAATCGATGCTCCTCGGGGATGACGTCGCTTACGCGGAAATTCCCGGGGATTCGGCGTGTGCACCAGGCACGCACGCACGTCGAACGAAGAGATGCAGTCGCGCCGCGGACTCTTTACTCCCGCGGCATCGTCTTCCGGAGTCCGCGGCGTCCGCACGGCATCGTCGCCGGGAGTCGTCGCGTCCTCCCGCCGCCCTTCGGAGGGAGACAGAGCGACGCGGCAGGCTCGGCCGTGCAGAAATACGCAGCCGCGCGCGCGTCCTGCTTCTTTCTTATCGGGCGACTCTGAATGGCGATGGGTATCCTCGCCAAAGTGGGTCATCGCCGTCGGTAGACGGCAGACGGCGGCGGCCGTCGCGACGACGACGACGACGCGTGGGTGGAGCGAAGTTGTCATCAGAAGGCAAGGCTAGGGACCTGGGTCGGTGGAGCGGAGAACTGCGAGTGCTGTTGGCGGCTGTTGTGGAGGCGAGAGAGGAGAGAGAGAGAGAGAGAGGGGGGGGGGAGTGAGCTGAAAAGGAAGCTTTTCCCGCGGCGAGAGAGAACGGTTCCCGACCTCTCCAACGCGCGAACGCGTCCCAGGTTCCTCGCCATTCACACTCGCTCTCGCTTTATATAGGGTGTACGGAAATACTCGGTGCAAGTTGGAGCGCGAGTCCATGGCTGTGACTTCGGGGTTATCAGCGGGGTCTAGTCTATTTTTTCGGCGACGATAATAATTCAGCGGCGCTCGATCGCGCTGACTTTTGTGGTCGCCCTTCCCGCGCCTGACGATGACTCGCCGCGCGACCAATGTCCTGTGCTCTTTCGTGCAGCTCCCTCCCCTTCGATCGTTCCCTTCGAGCGTGTCGCGCGCTATTTCTGGCTCCTCGGGCTCGCTCCCGAATTTAGATCCAATTTTCGCGCGATCCCGACCGCGCTGACCGAATGTGTCCGACTGCTGCCGCATTATGTAACATTAGCCGATAACGCGCTGAAGGTCGTTGGTTTTCTCGATGAGAGGATTCTCTCTCGCACGATGTGATTCCCTTCGGCGCGGCGAGGGACTGCCTGCGCCTCTCGTCCCATAATTTCTCATTCCACTGCACCGTTAGCGATCCATCCCATCGGATGGTCGACTTGCATAAGAGGTCAAATGAAGATAAAATTACAACCTGGAAAGTGTCATCGGCGTTCGATCGACCGCGGTGTCCTTGAATATCATCTGTGAAAGTCGAAGGACACGAGCCGACTGAATATTTAATAGCGGTACCGCGCGCGCGCGGCCGCCGCCGCCGCTCCAATGCGAATTAAGGTTCATTCAGGCCGGCGGAGCTCTCGACCTTCCTTGCCAAATTCTCTCGTCGCGAGACACGCGGCCACATTGTCGCCGGACAATTATCCGCACGTCTGTCGCTCTCACGCGTGAATCTACTCACGCTCCTCGGCGCCGCTTCGTATCGAGAGCCACCAGCGGGGCTTTTTCGGCGCGGGCGACTCACACACATTCGGTCGCTCGCAGCGAGCGGTATTTTTCGCTCGTGCTTTACCTTTGCTCTTCGTTCGGCTCCATGCTGTACGCGCGTATCGACGCGTGCACGACCTTCGTAAATGGGTTTTTTTTCTCGTAATACCAAAGAGAATCCAACGGAGTATCGCGTCCAGTAGT